TGGATTCGTCCCTGGAACAACCTGATATCCAATAAATACAATGAACTTGAGAAATAAAATTCTTATTTTCTAGGCAACACATAAGCCAATAAATCCAATTGTATGAATAGTAAAAAAAAAGTGAAGACATAGTAAGAAAGTTGACATCACACCTTGAATATCTTGACAGATATCTTAGCTTTCCCCTCAAGAGTACCTCCTGGAGTGATTGGAGGATTTTTAACTAGTACAAATCCATCACATTTCAAATCGAAACATCCCTTCGTCTTGTTTCCATTGGCCTAACCATCCCCATGAAAACCAGTGGTTATACAAAGCATGCATTGGTAAATAAATAAAATCTAAACCCGCACAACCCTTTTTTGTGTGTCATGAGCACTAAATAATCATGATATCCTGGTATTCTTTTAACTACAAGATGCTACATTTGGAGGAAAAATGACTGAGTTGTTTCGATTGATATCAGGGGCCACACCATCAACATTATCTTCTTTTGGTTAACAAGATGTCAAACCAACAAGATATCATTTGACCTTATCTTTCCATGTTACTAACATAGGAGTATGCACTTAATATTCTCAAAAAGAAAAACTAAACTGAAGCAATAAGTTAAACATAGTAACCAAAAATGGGGTAGGTTGATTATACCGTCCATCCTATCAAGAAATGTGTTTTGTTGTCACCATAGTAAGAAGGTTGAATCTACAGAAAAATAGCAAAAATACTTTAGATTTATCAAGCAATATGGACATATCAAATATACCATAGTTTTATATCAATAAGGCAAATCTGGCTTACGTTCCATCCAACTTGTACAACATTAACATCATTAGGCTTCTCCTTTTGGTAATTCTCTACCCAGATTTCAGCAGATACTATTTGTCCCGCCTTGACAGCCAGAGACTCATAAACATCTAATGTTGCCATGGCACCGTACAATGGCGTTGTAGAATTTGGTGGTGTTTGGTAAGCTGCAATCTGCAATGGAATCAACATAATTAGTATTTCCTTTTTGATTTTTGGAGGATTGAATGAAAGAGGGACATTCTTTATAGGTTGTTGACGCACAGTGCTTTGGATAAAGATATAACGGGACAAAAGCAAGTAGCAAGTATAAATTAATAGTGGTAAGTTGCGAAAGTTTTAACCAAAAATTATGGAGCAATGGAAATTTAAATGAATATTTAAAATGGCAAAAGGTTGACAAGGAACTGAAACCATTTTATTTTTTGTATGTGTAGTCTCGGTATGTTGGGAAACCTGGTCGGTCCAATACATGTGACTACACTCTCAACTCCCAAGGTTTCACTCTTCAAATCATAGCATAGAACTTTTGTATACAATAATATATTTTTAATTATTTGCACTAAGTGAAAACTGTACGATGGGATATACAATATAAAAAAACATTAGCGAATGTTTGCCTTAAATCCTAAAACTATAAAAAAAAGTCTAATATGCGCATCCCTGACATTGATGCCACTAACAAAGCAGCCTCACGCCAGAGTCGACTAAATTAAATCCTATTGTAGACCAGAAATCTTTGTTGATGGACATCATACAAAACAAGGGAAGGAAGATGAAATCACATTTGCGGATCAAAGGGAGTGGCTTGAATTCGAACGATGGAGCGTAACTCAAAAAAAAAAACATGCCAGGAATACAAGTGAAATGTTTGATATGAATATGGGCTTTTTTAAATTAATTTTGCAAGCCCTAATAACGTATCGATAAAAATAACTCAATTGTGCTCTTATTTAATAAATCCAAGAAAAGTTGAAGTAGAAGATACTATTAACATGGTAGATAAAATATACAAATATGTTGTCCAGAAGCATGAACTTACATGTTCGACGATTTCGCCCGCTTGCAGTTCAGCCTCAATCGATATTATTCTCTCACTGGACGATGCCCCCTTTTCTAATTGCTTGTGCCTTCTTAGATATGGGTTGTGACACCATGTCGTAGATACTTTATCTAAGCATAAGGTAAAGAGTACCAAGAAAATGTAGACATGTTTCATCATCTTGGGGAGGGGGGGGGATGTGAATATTTGCACTATCCTTCAAGAAGGATGCAATGGGAGGTATGCAAATAGAATATATATATATAGGTGTAAATGGTCGCAAAAGAAACAAACATGTATGGCATTTATTGTGCTCCTTATGGAAAATTAATTAAATTATATATGATACATTTGCATAGATTCATTAATGAGAAGAGATTGGTATCTTGTGCATATGCATACATACAATTCATAGACCCGGAAGCGTCATTAATGTTTAGTGATATAGAAAAGATATCATAGTCTTATACATTCAGAAATGGCTTATTAATCACGGTGGATATAAAATTTTATTTATATTTATTTACATTTGACCAAGTTAAATCCCACGCCCAGCTACCTACCTAATATTCGCAACAACAATGCAACTAACACCTTGAAAATAATGGTGGATCTTTTTTACCAACATAGTTACGGAGTGGGAACAAATCCCTCTCAACTTAATTCCCTCAATTAGATTACACCGTTGCATAGATAGGGTATTAATGCTATTGAAAGACTACATAAATAGTCCAATGCGCTATTCTCATATGCATATTCATTGGATCAAATTGAACATAAGGCTAGTATCGAGGATCAAACTAAAATGCATGTACCGCGTCCTGCTTTAACATGAAGCATGATTGTTATTGCTAGAAATGCTATCATTGCTTCCATAATATTATTAGAAAAACAAAAGGAGGATGACCCCCGGCATCTGCATTAGGATGATGCATGCAGCCATTTTATTAATTATTCATCAAGACCTTACAAAAAAAATACATCAATAAGTTTACCATCTTGGCGACATCTGTCGCTACTCTTATCCACTTGATGAAGGGGTGCAGATTGTCAGGGCCACGTACCCAGACCTCACACTAAAGCCCAACATCTAAAGCCGAAGGCCCCAACCAAGCTGAATTGTCGGGTCTGGGTCACACACTGGTCCGGCACACTCACAACGGGCTCCCCATGCGCACACTGCAGAGGTCGTTGCCACCGTCTTCCATTGATCCATCTTCAGAGTAGGCATTGACGCATCCACCTTGTGCCAAGCATGTCGTCGACGCCACCACGGCGCCAGACAACGCCACCTTCCTACGTGCATCCATCATCATGCACCCATCACCGAGACCCTGCGGCGCCACGCCACCAAGACTCCACATCGTAGATGCGTCAGAGGAACCGCCGCTCCATCGCAGGAGCCATCCGCTAGTCCCTCGAGCCTATGCACACCTCCAAGAATGATGCCCCAAAGGGCGGAACGACACAAGAGCGTTGCATCCGATCAACTGAGCTAAGATTTCTCCCAGGGGTAGCGGATAGAGCCATAGAGGCCTAAAGCTTCTCCTCGGTCATGCCTTCCAGAAGGGAATGACACAGAAGAGCGCCGCCATCGCCAGCCTTGGAAACTAGTAGATGGTTGAACCTTGTGGTCTAGCACATGAGAACCAATCCAAGACAACGACTCACGAGACATTACAATTTCCACACAAAAATTGCAGTAAATGTGTTTCATGAAGGTACCTCAAACAACTTAGGAATTTTGGACAAACTTCCCTCGATATTGATGGAAGATCCTCCTCCAACTTGACTGGGGGGAGGGGGGTGAGGTGGTCCACTAGGCCTTTTGCTTTTCTCAAGGATGATGGACAGGGCGTCACAGTTAGATCAAAGAGGATGGGAGAGAGCGAATATCCTAGGCCAACACCCTGAGGCGATCTAAAGTAGTGCCCAACTTCTCCATTGACATTGATGTAAGTGTTCCAACTAGAAATCATTTGTGTTACCCATAGATTCATGTATCATCGAAGCCCCCCACCCCCACCCCCTCATTTTCGTAACCTAGCGAGGGAAGGACCTTTCAAGAAGGTTGTGCACTTTCAGAGGAATATACCCTTCGAGTGCTTGATTAACCATGTGGGTTTCTTCATGCAGCACATGCACCCCACCGTGGATATACCAGGGCCGGATGAAGGCCTACTGGTTAGGATGAACCATCCTATCTGCAACTGGGGCTAAATGAGTGACACACACTTCCACAAAAATGTGTTGGATCACATTGATGACGGTGATAGGCCTAAACTGCATAACATTTGTAGCCCATACTACCTTGGAGATCAGGCTCACGACATCGAAGTTAAGGCATGAAATATTTAGGGCCCTGGCATATAAATCATGGAATATATTCAAAAAAAGTTGTTGAGACTTCAATTTCACACCAATGAAGATGGAAGTAGAGGGTGCGAAGAAACTTGTATCCTTCTTAACTTTCCAAATTAAAAGGCCCTGAATCTTGACAAGAAAGAGATAAGTCCATATTACAACCTCAGACTACCGCCAAAGTCTAATATACAGCCTTGAACTATGAAACCGTCTATTTAATACCTCCAACTTTTAAAACCGGACAAAGAATCAACTCTGGACTACTTTGAGAATGATTAACAGCCTAGTCAGCGGCCACGTCACCCCGTGACAACACATTGAGAGACATTATTGGTCACAATTTGGCCAAAAAATGGAAGTTCCCAGAAATTATTTAAAAAAATCTCAGAAATCCACACCACCCTTATTCAATTTGGGAAGGTTTCAGCAAGTTTTGTCAAACATAAGAAAACGTGAACAAAAATTCAAATTTAGAGCCATTTTGTGTCAAATTATGGTAAAAAAAGGTTTTCCATTAAATTCTGAAAACATTCTAAAATATACGTACTACCCTTATATTCAATAGTTTTAACCATGTTTGCCAAACAGAGAAAATTTAGAATGAAAATTCAAATCCATAGCCATTTTAGGTCAAAATTTTGCTGAAAAAAAGTAAGTTCCCCCATAAAAATTATCGAATATCCACAGTAACTTATGTTAAATCTGGGAAAGTTTCAAAAAGTTTTGCCAAAATAACAAATAGAATGGAAAATAAAAAATTCAGGGTTAAGTGGGCTAGGGAGTGACGTGGTGGCTGATTGGGTTGTTCACCAGTCAAAACCAGTTTCAAACCGGTCTAGCACTGTCTCTTGTACGGTTTTGGAAGTTGGAGGTTGTCAAATAGGCGGTTTTGTAGCTTATGAATGCATATTAGATTTTTTTAAATCTATTGTATATTAGACTTTGATGATAGTTTGGGGTTGTAATACGAAAATGCCAAACATAGCTCGAATTCCATGGAGGCCTTAATTTGAAAAATTCAAAATTCAAACTTTTCAGTTTCAAAAAATTCCGAAAATAAATACCCATATACCTAGATACATAATGTACATGTCTAAAAAATTTCAGGTCAAAATACGTTAAGATGAGAAGTACACAAAAAGACAAATCAGGGCCTTTTTAGCGTATGTACTGTTCATTTTCAAAGTCCACGATCTGTTTTCTTTGTGCAGCTCGCAATTCAAGGTATTTCATCCTGAAATTTTACACGCATATACATTACATCCTTACATACACGTGTACTTTTTCTTCCGAATTTTTTGAAACTGAAAAAATTGAATTTTAAAAATTTCAAAATAAAGGCTTCCATGGAGCTCGCCCTCCAAAATGCACTGCTGGTTGTGTAACACGGACTTCTTTCCGCAAGAAACAGCCTACCTGGTGGACAAACACGACAGGGCTAAATGATCTTGTCCAATCTCCTCGAGTGCTTGCGTTCTACTCCATGTCTCATCAGACTCTCGCACCTGACGCTCACCCGTCTCATTTAATGAACAGCAGCAGCTTCTTGGGACAAATAAATGATGCACATCTGCATTTTGATGAGGTGACCGGGATTGACTGCCCACCTCGCCCGCCTCCTGCTTTAGCAGTGCAAATGGAGGCATCATTTTTAATGCGGTCTTGGTAGCGCGATGGTGACAAAAGGCAAGGTGGGTGGCCTGTCGCTCGCTGCAACTTCCTTGAGAATTCTTATTCAGGCAGGCAAGTCTCTATTGTGCTTTCTTTTCTGAATCCAAGTCGATGCGCTCTTTTGAGCGCACAGGGTTGGATTGGATTGGAATGGGATCCAGTTCATTTCAGATTGGAATAGGATCAATTCCACATCACCATCCCCACGCCTCAACTTGGTTGAAAATTGAAATGGATCGTAAATTGGCCAAAAATTTGAATATATGTGTATCATGGATGATTGAAAGAAACCTGAAATCGATGAGCGATTTTTTTTGGTATCAAGATACATATGTTTAAGCTCGTGTATATGAACCAGAAGATGAACATGCGCTTATGATGTTCATATCTACTGAGATGTTCATAGCTTATTAGATTATCACATGCTACTACAAGGGAGCACATCTTTTGCGTCAGTAATTCTTATTTACAATTTCTGACATTCTCACGGTGTATGCACAAGCTCACGCTGTTCACTCCAAAAACTTCCATCCCAAGCAGCAGCAGCAGCATCGATCGCAGTTCAACGCGGGATTTCGTCGGCGTTGATGCCCGTGGCCGGCTGGCCTGACCGCCCAGGCAAACGCGGCGGCGCCGCGCCGAACGAAGCCGACCTGCCTACCTCGACGCCGGCTATCTCCAACGCTTCCCACGATTTCAGCGCTCTACTGATCTTCGATAGGCCCATCTCCCCCTCGCGCGCACTGTTCGAAGCCAGAGGTCGTGGGGAGACGTCCGGCCACGGCAGCCTCGGGAGCGCCATCACGGACGCGGCGCGCCTCACAGCCATCTCCGTCGACAGGACGCCGTCGCCCCCGGTCTCCTCGGCGCCAGCACCAGCGGCAGCGGCTAGGTTCGCCGCGGGCTCGCTCGCGTCGTTGCCGGGGGCGGCGGTCTGGTGAGCGCCAGCGGCGACCTTGACAGGAGCGCGGCAGAGCGGGCAGTTGACATGGGCGCGGAGCCAGGTGTCGATGCAGCCGCGGTGGAACGCGTGGCCGCACCGCGGCAGCAGGCGCAGCGTCTCCCCGCCGCGGAACTCCGCGAGGCACACCGCGCAGCCGTCGCCGCCGAGCCCCAGGGCGCGGCACTTGTCGGGGTCGTACACCAGCGCGGTGATGGCCGCGATGGCGCGCTCGTCGAGCCCCACGGTGCGTATGTACCACACGTGGTGCACCCCGTCGTCGGAGTCGCTGTCCGCCGGCACCGGGACCGCCATGTCGGCCGGAGGCCCGCCTTGGGCGAGCTGGTGGTGCAGCGGCAGCGGCGCGGCGTTGGCGGCATGGCGCCGGCGCCGGCGCACGACGTGGCAGACGAGCAGGACGAGGAGGAGGACGACGGACACGGCGAGGACGGACGCCGATAGGGCGATGAGCGGGGTGGGGAGGCGAGAGGAGGAGCGGAGGTGCACGGTGGCGGTGCGCGAGGGCGGCGGCGGCCGGCAGAGGCCGTAGTGGGCGCACGGCTCTGAGCAGTGCGCGGCGCAGGCCGAGGGGTCGGCAGGGAACGGGAAGACGGCGTCGGTCTGGTCGCGCACCGGCTCCGGCTTCATCCTCCCCGGCTTGGGCCTGGGCTTGGGAGGCTTTGGCTTCGGCCGCGGCATGGGATGGTCCTCGGGCGGCGGCGGCATGGGCAGCCGGCGGGAGGGCGTGGGCTGTTGGAGGCCGCAGAGCGGGTGAGCGGTGGTGGGTGCGACTCCGGTGGCCTTTTTAATGCGTGTGAACTGCGGGCCGCGGTGTGTGGTCGAAGCTGCAGCCGGAGACTTGAGCGCGTGCGACAAGTAGCAAGTGCCCGGAGCTTCTTGTGGAAGGGTGACCGCCCAGTAAAAACCAGGCGGGGTGTTTACATCTCGATTGATTTTCTGGAGATTCGCTGGTCACAAGGAAAACATTTCGAGTAGCATTTTGTTCCCTTTCGTAGTATGTACACGTCACTGGTCGACCATCGATCGCTATTTACAGGATCGATGGCCTGTAGTAAAGGCTCATTTCAACACACCGATGACCCTGATAAGAATACACATGTTCTACACTCGAAAGAGTGAGTCGGCACATTATGTTAAGACCGACAAAGTTACCATATATGTCTTTGTAGTCAACTGAAACGTCTCTTCCCACTGAACACATATCGTCGAAAGGCGTGGAATAAATTCAGAAAAATGCAAGCATCAAATGTCAAGCCTAGAACTTGAACCCTCGTTCGCTAGAGATAGCACTGTTCTCCTAACCATCCAAGTAGTGACCAACGTGACCATGGTGTTCACCGTTGGTTTTCTGTCGTGCGGGGCAAGTTTTGAAAATGGTCGACGAAGTGGTCGACCGGCGTAGCGAGCGATCGGTCACCTACGGAACAGTCACATGGATCGACTTGCGTGGCGGAGCAGTAGTGCTTGCGAACGCGTATCACGGCTGTTGCACCAACAGTACAGCATCGCGTCGCCCCGTCGGCCGCCGCAACTTACGTCATTGCCATAGCAACTTCATGCATCGCTGGTTCCAGCGTCTTCGGCGATGGTTGCAGCATCGTGCCGTCCCGTCGCCGCTTTCAGTGGCGACGTCGTACCTTCACGCACCACTGGTTCCTACATTTCCGACAAAGGCTGCAACAATGTATAGTCTCGTCGCAGCATTCGACGCGGCCCACACCGCCTGTTTCAACATCTCCGAGCACTGGTTGGAGCATCACGCCACCCCGACGCAGCTTTCGCACCATCTCGTAGCTTCGCTTTCACCGGTCCTAGCATCAGCATGTGTTGGTTTCAACATCGACTATGCACCGGTCACATATCCATCAGGAGACTCGCCGAAACTCGGTGACGCTGACGCTGCTCCCCTTGTGGTTACTCTTGGCGGCTCGTAGCCTCGCTGTCGCTTGCGCGCAACACCCAAAGATGGTGAGAGGTGACGGGGGTGCTCCGTGATAGGAAAGAAGACAAAGAGAATGGGTGGTCGAGTGTCGTGGGAGAATGTGGATCGCCAGATCACCCCCAAATGTTTGAAAAAGGCGTCTTGAATTTTTTGACACATCCATGCTGACCACCAAAATGGCGCGAACCGGTCCCAATGTCCGAAATTCTCAAACTTGAACCAAACGAATGGCGGTTTGCAGGCGTCAAGACCTCCACTACATTGGACTCTAACACAAGGCCCACCCAAAAACCTGACCAAGACATCTGCTCTAGAACCCTTGTTATCATTCATGCCGCTGTGACGACCGCTTACCCGCATTCATGACGATCAGAGCGAACATGACCGGACGGCTTTCCGGCACAACATTCGGACCGACGCGGCGACCAAGAAGCCTACTTCGGACGCTGCCCACATTCGATTAAAAAAAAAGTTGTTTGATGAGTAACTTTTGTCACGTAAAACTGATTTTCAAAAATGTGGTGGTGATGGTTTTTGTCTCTCACTCGATCTGTCACAGAAGCGTCGTAACAACAAATAAAATCCTAACAGGACCACTTTTCCGCTCACGTAAGAACGTATCTGAGGTGACGGTTTTGGTTTTGTCACAGAATTATCAGGACCAACACCTTTGATCAGCCGATTTGTTAGCATTGGATTTTATTTTCAAATGTTTCTAAAGGTTTGAAATTTCTATACATGTTTCACCGCAACACATCAACAGGGCGCGGTGTGGGCCGCACCGCACGCCCATGGCTAGTTACAATTAATGTGTATATATACTCATACATATACTCGCGTAGGCCGAATCATGGATGACAAAAGTCCACAAGAAAATTAATTTACCACAGGGATTGTGTGTGCATAAGAGTGCTCCAGAGTGCACATGTTATTATTGCAACTGTTATATAGTGTCGTGGTGTTCTCGCGGCAAATGTCATGGGATGGCTAATCGAGTGTGGTTGGGGCCAGAGGACGCCGGTGGGTTTCGGAAGCGATATTGTCGACAAGCGATGTGAGACACACGACGTACTCAGGTTTAGGGCCCTCCGAGGGAGGTAACACCCCTAGTCCTACCGGATCGACTATGAGGATCACAAGAGCTACAATGGCGCTCCTTGAGCTGTATGGGTGGAGGAGGAAGAAGGAGCTAGCTCTCCTATTCTCCTTGCATGTGTGTAGGTGTGTGTGATGAATGAGTCGACCCGCTCTCAGGGGGCTCCTGGGAGGTCTTATAGCCTGGCCTCCCAGGTTGCAAGTGATAAAATAAGGAGGGCGGGCCCTGATGGTGCCATTGTCTCTAGCTTCCAGTGGGCCCCACCGGCTGCTGTGGCCCGCCGGCTGTGGGCCCGTTGGCTGCGGGACCCGCTGGCTGCATGCCACTGTGGCACGCCATTCGCGCATCATGGAGTGGTTGGCATTATGCGGCTACTGTGTCGCATCGCGTCGTCGCTGTCCGCCTCGGTCAGCGGTACTGTGGGCACTGTTGCTTCGCTCTCCTCGATCAGCGATGACGTGGGCATTGTTGCCATGCTCTCCCTGTCGTGGGGGGTTGTCTTGTCGTACGTATGGAATGGAAGGGTGCTGACCCGCCGCTTGCCGGCTGCAGCCAGCCGACCAGGGCTATAGCGTCGTGCCCAGCCGGCTCGGAGCCAGAGGGCTTGCTGGCCCAGAGCCAGATGGCCGACTGGAGGACTAGCAGGACTGAGGGGCGCTGGGCACCCTGTTGTTTTTGAAAATTGCTAATGTTGTTAAGCCTATCCGGGGTCATCCCCCCGACATTTAGTAAGCAACCTATGCTATTATTCAATGGAACATCTGCGACGCCAGCCCATCCTCCTTTGCCATCTCATACATTGTGATCAATTTTATTGTCGTTCCAAGTGATCATACTAATGAGGAGTAAATTGCAAAAAACCATCACTTTGAAGGCAAGCATTGCGAGAACCACTACAATACATTTTTTTGTTTTGCAAAAAACACCGTGTCTATTGTAATCTTTTTGCAGAAAACACTGATCGGTGGATCGGGCTCAGTTAAGCTTGTTTATGACAGGTGCGGCCCGCCAATCAGGCTGACGTGGCACCAATTTCTCACACCGTTACATGAAAATGTTTGCTGGACATGGGGCCCGCTTGTCAGCGTAACAAACCTCTCTTGGGCATTTCATCGAACAATTTGCGTGCGTGCACAGGCCGGCGGACAAAGGCCACCGTCGCGAGGCTCAGCCAGGCGACGAAGGTCAAGGACAGTGGCGCCGGGATGCGGCGGCGTCATGTTCGTCCAGGCCTTGAGCGAGGCGTCGGCCTGGGCGACATTGCGGGCCACGGCCGCGAGGAGCGCGACGGCGTGCTCGGCGGCGGCGACGGTGTTGGCGGTGGGCGCGTTGACAACGAGGCAGCCGGCCTCGGTGGCGGCATGGAGGTCGACGTTGTCGGTGCCGATGCCAGCGGGGCCCACGATGTGCAGCCGCCCGCGCGTGATACGTCTCCAACGTATCTATAATTTTTGATTGCTTCATGCTACTTTATCTACTGTTTTAGACAATATTGGGCTTTATTATCCACTTTTATATTATTTTTGGGACTAACCTATTAACCGGAGGCCCAGCCCAGATTTGCTGTTTTATGCCTATTTCAGTGTTTCGAGAAAAAGGAATATCAGACGGAGTCAAAACGGAACGAAATCAACTAGAGAAGTTATTTTTGGAAGGAAACCCACCTGATGCACTTGGACCCCACGTCAGAAGATACGGGAGGTGCTCACAAGGGTGGGGGCGCGCCCACCCCCCTGGGCGCGCCCCCTGCCTCGTGGGGCCCCCGTAGCTCCACCGACGTTCTAGGTTTCGAGTTGTAATCCTTATATTGTAATCAATAGAAGTGTGATGATCATCATTATTAGAGCATTGCCCAAATAAAAAAAAGAAGAGAAAGGCCAAAATATATAAAAAAAGAAAGCCCCCCCATCCAAAAAAAAAGAAAAGGGCAATGCTGCTATCTATTTTTCCACACTTATGCTTCAAAGTAGCACCTTGTTCTTCATGTAATGAGTCTCATATATTGTGCTTTAAAGTAGCACCTTGTTCTTTATGTAGTGAGTCTCATAAGTTGTCCTTTTTATACTAGTGGGAATTTTTCATTATAGAACTTGGCTTGTATATTCCTACGATGGGTTTCCTCAAATGTCGTAGGTCTTCATGAGCAAGCAAGTTGGATGCACACCCACTAGTTTTTTTTTGTTGAGCATCCATAGCTCTAGTGCATCCGTTGCATGGTAATCCCTACTCCTCATGTTGACATCAATTGATGGGCATCTCCATAGCCCATTGATTAGCCTCGTCAACATGAGACTTTCTCCTTTTTGTCTTCTCCACATAATCCCCATCATCATATTCTATTCCACCCATAGTGTTATATCCATGGCTCACGCTCATGTATTGCGTGAAGGTTGAAAAAGTTTGAGATTATTTAAGTATGAAACAATTGCTTGGCTTGTCATCGGGGGTACAGAAGTTGGGAACATCTTTGTGCGACCAAAATGAAGTATAGCCTAACTATATGATTTTGTAGGGATGAACTTTCTTTTGTCATGTTATTTTGAGAAGACATGATTGCTTTGATTAGTATGCTTGAAGTATTACTATTTTTGTGTCAATATGAACTTTTGTCTTGAATCTGAATATTCATGCCACGATTAAGAAGATTTACATTGAAATTATGCCAAA